TCCACGACCGAGGCCACCCACTGCTGCCTATCTTCGGTTTTCCAGCCCTCGGCCATGAATGTGACAAAAGCTTCCTCTCGGGCTTTGGCGACGGCCTCGGCCTTGGCAAGCTCTGCCTCCTCGACGGCTTTCTTAGCATCCCTCTCTGCCTCGAGCCTGGCCTCCTCCACGGCAGCCTTGACCTTCAGCTCAGTGCCTTCGGCAGCCTTCCGGAGATCTTCCTCCAGCGAGGCCATCTGCTTCACAGCGTCAGAATTCTTCAGGATAAGCTCCCTCATCTCCCGATCCTGCTCCGCTTTCTGGAAGCGCCATTGCTCGAGCCTCTGTGCGTGCTCCCCGAGGGCTACACAAGCCTGATAAACAACAAGCGGAGGGGTTAGATTAGTATTAGAAATGCATTAAAGGTTAAACACGAAAGCAAAGGAGGAAACTTACAGCTAACGAAGATCGAAGGATCTTGTTCTCGAGGGCCGCATCATCGTAAGTCGAGAGGGCGGCCTTGTCCATTGCCGAGGTGATCCCCCTCAGGAAGGCCTTCGGCTATGCTGAGCCATGTAGCACAGAAGCCCCCGGGGCCAAGGAGAGCTGCAGAATCTCCCGGGGGAGGCTTCCCAAGGGAAGATCGGTCCGAGTTGTCGCCGCCGCATCAGCCGGGGGATCGCGAGAAGGGCGATCCTCTATGATCACCAAGGGGGCATCCTGGCCGACAGTGCCCCCGGTACCCTCTGCTTCTTAGCAGGGGGCTCGACTGCTTTGCTGCCCTTTTTCTTTTTTGTGGCCCCCTCGGCCACACCAGTAACTACCTCCGCAGCAGAGGGCTTCGGGGTCTCCTTCTGAAAGGAAGCCACTACAGGCTGCTGGACCGAGGGATCTTTCTTTTGTGCTTGGGCCTTGCCCTTCTTTTTCTTCAAAGCAAAGAGCTTCCTGGCGTCCATGTTCACACCTGCCAACAAAAAAAACAGTTAGACCGAAGGGCAAGAAAGCGCAAAAAAAAAAATAATAAAGAGGAAAAAAATCCTAAGGGAGCCCTCGGCTCGGCTACTACCTCCTGCTCCCTCGGGGGCCTTGTCCAACACAGGATACTTCTCGTCTGTCTCACCGAGGAAGCGATATCTGCGGAAGCCGAGGGCGAACAGTTCCTTGTCAGCAGTGTAATCTTTAATGGACACTTGTTTCGTGCGGCCCTCCGGAATCTTAGCTATTTTCAAGCCATCCTTCTCGAGAGCAGCATTGCCAACCTTCGGAAGCCGACGGAAGCGATCCCAAAGTTCCCTCGGGAATGGGCTCTCTGCAACCCTGACATAGCACCACCGCTTCTTCCAGCCTTTATTGGACGAGGGCGCCTCTGTAAATAGCTTCCACCTAGCTATCTGCTGCAGATTGGCGAAGCCCTCAGCATTCGCGTGACCCCCTCGGCAGAGGTTGAAGCTCTGGAAAAACAAGTCCAGGCTGGGGGTCACCCCTCGGGCCCGACAGAGGTTCAGAAAGCCCGCCACGTAGGAGTGGCTATTGGGCGTCAATTGGCAGGGGACCAAACCCACGTACCGAAGGTATTCCCGAAGGAATGGGTGTAGGGGGAACCGGAGCCCCATTGATACCGACAGGATGTGCACGGCGATGCATCCCTCGGGAGCCCGGGAGAGCGCATCATCAGGACCTGGCGCCACCACCACAGCCGAAGGCCCCACGTGCAGCTGAGTGACGTACAGATCTTCCCGGTCAGCCTTCGACCCTATCTCGAGGGCAGCGATATTCAGCTACGAATACCCCTCTGGCATGTCGATGGACTTTCCTTGATCGGCAGCAATGACCTTCTTCTTGGGGGCAGCTTTCTTCTTCTCCTGATTATTCCCGGGGGCCACTCTTATCGGCGTCGCGTTAAGGGGCCGAGAGCTCCCTGCCTCACCAGAACCGCGGGGGGGAGGACAGCCACTGTCACCCTCATCCTCTCCTTCTCTTCCTCCTCCTCCTCTGCAACTTGTACGCCGAGGGCGAGCTCTTCATCCTCCGCCTCTTGCTCAAAGCCCTCGGCTTCAACTTCGGCCACTAACTCCTTCTGCACCTCCATCGCCATGGCGACATCCTCCTGGGCCGAGGGTTGCTCGCTCATGGACCCCACATCCGAGAAGCTCTCCTCTTCCATCAAGGGATCCCTCGATATGTCCTGAGAATCACTTTGAGAAGACATCTTTCCACTAGGTCGAGGGCTCGGAAATACTAAGTGTTCTAAGTTGCAACTCCTAAATCTAAGGCCACTAAGACAGCTAGCTAAGAAGGGAGAAGGACGAGTGGGGAACTCACCTTGGAATCGAGGGCAAGATTTTCTTTCTCTAGAAATTTTGGCAGAGCTCCGCTAACACAATGATCGCACAAGGAAGAAGTGATGCCCGACCATGGGGTATTTATAAGCGCCCAGATCCGGGCTTGGGCCCAAAAACCAGGCCTCCGGTTGAACAGACATCATTACGAACCGTCGAACTGCCCAATCAGTGACGCCCGCCCACAGGCAGCCAACGAGCACGCACCACGTGGAAGCCCCCCCCAATGGCTATATTTTGACGTTAGGTATTCCAAACGGCTATATTTACAACGGCTATATTCTGGGAACTCCCGGCTATATTCAGCAGACCACTCCTTCATCAACCAAGAAACTAGCCCCCGGGCTTTTTACTTCACTCCACTTCATCAAGAGGAGCCCCCGGGTGCACTTACCTAGAGATGCTCCCGATTTATGCCCCTCACACTACATAACAAATGCCTTCGGGCTCACTCCTTCAGAAGCCCACGGCTTCATAACGGGCACACCCCTCGGGGATTCCCCCCTCAGCACTTTGAGGACCAGACAGCCCCCGAGGAGTACACCTCATTGACGGATAGCCTGTAGCACACAGGTAACGGGAGCCCTCGGATACCCTCCTCATCAATTGATCAACAAACAGGGGACCCCCCGGTAACACTTCAACTACTACTCACATTCATCACACCCTCGATCCTCGGATTGAGGGACTCCCCTTCGGCACCTCCAAGGATATCAACAGCAAGCCTCCGGCTAATCAACACACACGCCCCCAGAACAAGGATAGCCTTCGGCATCAGCATTGTACTCCATTTAAAAACCAGGGCTTCACATTTTCGATTCATCGTTGGGGGAATTCGGTGCACTCTTTTTCCCTCATTGGGATATTTTCCCACAGGGTTTTTCCTAATGAGGTTTTTAACGAGGCATCCCCCCAAAATGAAACGAAAAGCGTCAGCCTTCGGCCCAATACAACAACATGATTACTCTACTCCTTTTCACCACTTTGCAAGTGCCTCAAGGAGTGGGGGACTGGAGAACCCCCTCGGGAAAAATCACAAAAGTGCAAAATGCTAAAAACTCCCGCAAACAACAAACATGCTCCCTCAAGTCCCGACATGTGGGTAACTGAGGGTCTGCCCTCGGCAGAATAAACAAACAGTAAACTACCCACAACTCTACAAACTACAACGGAACAACAACAGAGGACAAACACAATTACTCCTTTTCTCTCAAGTACCTTTCGGCAAAAGGAGTGAGGGACTCCTGATGGAGTATATGGCCCGGGAACCCCCGGCCCATTGACTCCTACTACTTCAATAAAGGCCCAATAGGCCCAGGAAGCACAACAGGCCCAAATCACAACGCCCAGAGTACCAAGCGGCCCACAATGCGCACCAGGGGTGCCTTCGGCCCCCTGGCCGAAGGCTCTGAATCTCACAGGAGGGTCAAATCAGGAAAACAAGGTTACTGGGAGAAAACGGCGAAAATCAGTAGCCCTCGGCTCCTAGAGCCCTCGGCATTAAGGAGGTCCCCGATGCTCAGAGCCCTCAGCTAATCACCTACAGCCGAGGGCACCTTTCCGACATAATACCCGCTCCACATGCGCATGGATCACCGTATCAAGTACGACGTCACATCCAACAGCCGCATTAAATGCGGCCACATGCGATTGCCAGCGCCAACCAGTTGAGGTGACCCATCAGCCAATGGATACTTGACACGTGTCCCTGTCTGGCATTTATTGCTACTATAAATAGCACCCCATTTTCCCGTTGTAAACCACGCTCAAAAAAGCCTTTACTTACATATTCAATACACTTTCTCTCTCTTACTTGCTCTGACTTCTCTCTACTTATTCCCCGTAATAACCCCTCGGATAAGCTACCCCCGGGTACACTATCCATCACCGTCCAAAATATATAAGTATATATACTCCATAGTAGAGTAGTCTTCCTGTCCGGAATTCCGGACAGGAACCGCCGTCCGGCCGACGGATTTTGGGGCTCTTCCCGGTGGAGTTTTTTGATGAAATTTTTATGGCATGTTCTTCATTAAGTCTAGTTTATCTAAAAAAAATTAAGCTAAATATTCCATCGGAAAGGTCGTCAAATGGTTTTTGGAAGTTAACTGCGCTAAAAAATACATATAAAACGCAGTTGACTTCCAAAAATCATTTGACGAGGTTCCCGATGGAATTATTTTCTCAAATTTGGTATGGATGAACTAGAAATGATGAAGAACATGACATAAAAATTTCATCAAAAAATTCCACCGAACGATTATGGTCAGTTATGATCGGTTATTCGGTTACTGACCGAAACCGAATGACATTTTTCGGTCGGTTTTTGTAATGTTGTCGATCGGTTTTCGGTCGGTTATTTGAGTAAAAAATATTGATCGGTTATTTGACCGACTGACCGAATGCTCACCCCTATAATTTAAGCTGGAAGTCAACGTGACATACAATCTCTCAAATGTCATATTGATCAGGGTTGAAAGGCTATCAGGTACGGGGTGTCATATCGGGTCGGGTGAGCCCTTTTCCATATTTGGAACACGTCCGATTGACTCGACGTTGCCCAGGGGGGTTTCGGTAATTTCGTAATCACGTGGCCATCGCATTCATTGGGGCTGTCTTTGGGGGTACTGTAGTAATTTTCGCGTTTTCTTTTTTTGTCCTATCATTAAAATATTTAGGACCTTCCAGAGTTTCAGTATATTTGTCACTCCTCTCTCTCCTAATCCGCGACTGAAATTGAATTGATTAGTAATTACCGCCGCCGCGCCGCCGGCCGGGATATTTATCTTAGGTTTGTCAGTGGTGGGTTCCAATTTTACTTCCGGCGGAATTCGAAAAGTCTGATACTGTGAATCGGACATCTCTGATAACAATATGCAGGATATTCATTTGATTGGCGGCGGAGGTGGGCGATTCTTCGGCGGCGGCGACAGGAGGCTGCGGCCGAACCAACACCACAACCTGCCGGCGCTTAAATGCCCCCGTTGCGACTCACTCAACACAAAATTTTGCTATTTCAATAATTACAATCTATCTCAGCCGCGCCACTTCTGCAAGAGCTGCCGCCGGTACTGGACAAAGGGCGGCGTCCTCCGCAACGTCCCCGTCGGCGGCGGATGCCGAAAGAACAAGCGCTCCAGGACGAAATCAAGCGTTTCAACGCCGGATTGCAAGTCTAGTTCTCACTCGAGTAGCGAGAGCTCAGGGCTGACCGGGACGACGACTACGGCGGTCACCGACGTTAACTCCGCCGCCGCTGCCGGCTCCGCGGAAGTCGTATCGACGAGTACAAAGAAGCCTTCTCCGACGGGTTTTGCAAATCGGCAGGACTCCGGGTTCTTGATTCCTCAGATATTCGATCAGCCGGTGATATCCCACGCCGGCGACGACCAAATCTTCCAAGAAATCGGGAACTTCACAAACATGATAGGCGTGTTTGACGACATTCCACCGGCGCTCGAATACCCAGATGCCAAGTGGCTTCCTCAGCAGGTGAAAATGGTGGGCCAGGCTTTAAAGATGCCGGATATCATGGCGGCGGAGTTTCTAGATCAGACGGATCAGATCGATTTTCAGAGCTTGCAACAGCAGAGCAGGGGAAGCGAGGTAGGTCTTCCACCACTGGATTGGCACGCCGGCGCCGGAGTAGGGGATCATGAGCTGTTTGACCTCCCCGGAGCCGTTGACCAAGTATACTGGAGTCAAACGCATTGGGGGTAAAATGATCAGCTTTACTCCCTTGATTAAATTCCTTAAAACAAACAAAAAAAAAATTCAGATCCAAAATAATTAAGAATATGATGTATCCAAATTTGGGTAGATGACTAGGATGAGAAATTTTATGTTCGCTGGTATAATATGTATATTAAAATTCGATGTTATCCTCGTTTTCGTTTTAATTAATGAGGTGAGATTATATAATTTTATCTATTATATTCCCTTGTTGCTCCAATGTGTAAATCCAGTATTATCTTCCTATTTCTCAAATTTTTTGACAATAATAATTACTTATATACCTAGCTTCTGTAGTGATATATCTGTGTACCAATGACATGTAATGGTTATGCACAGCATTTGACAATAAATGTAGTCATAATAATTTATCAGTTTATTATTCAAGTACTATTTCTATTTCTTCTCTCCCAATATGAAGTAATGGTTAATATAATCTGACTAGAAATTGTTTAAATATTTGTTAAAAACAATAGAAAAATGGGAAAGTAGAAGTATGTATTTTTCTTGTTGTAGGAGTAACTTACTACTCCCCCACGCCATTTTATGTGTCCTTCAGGTTAGAGAGGTAATCCTTTTCGTATTAAAACTTAGAATTTATATGTTTACAAAATAAACATATGCTTAGGTGAGTTTATAGAAAATATGAGTCAGAATATGACGAAGTTTGTTACAATAAACTAAAAGGTGAGAATGGATTAGGTGGATCATATATATATATATGCTTCCACAAGAAGAATGGGACTTCAAAGTTCAAACTGAGAGTTATAGGTCAGCCGTAGTATTTGTTATACACACTTCATTTTTAATTTGTACATATTTTTACACGTGTCTGTGAATATTTTGTCGTAACCAAGTGCAAGATTTTATTAAAGGAAATATATAAATGATTAGATAAGTACATATTAAGGAGTTGATGAAGATGTGAGCGCAAACTAGCTTGTCATCTAAAGATGTTTTTACTTGGACTGTAATTTGATGGTCTGATCTAGTCTGGTCTGAACTGGTCTGATCTGGTCTGGTCTAGTTTCTTTGTAGTTTTATAACTATCCAAGTCTAGTCTAGTCAGAATTGGTCTGGTCTGATCTGGGAGGAATTATAGTCCAAGTAAAAACATCCTAAATCATAAAAACAGTTTATAGAGATTTGAACGTAGTGTACATAAACACTTCTTAATGATTAGCAGATCATCAGGACTAAGAAAATAAGTCCAACCTGTACGAGTAACTCAGTTGGTTCAGTGATTAGAAATTTGGAATCATGACCAAGGTTCGAAACTCGCAGCGTCCGTGTAGAGATTACAACTCCTGTGTGCTGGGCTAGATCACTGGTGTGCACGGGTATAAGGCCTACCATCATGGGCCGACTGAGTCACTGTGACTTACATCCTCCCAAAAATCATGTCCGGTCGGGGTGTGGAGGGCCTTGGGGTTGGGGATTCAACCTTTTGAAAAAAAAGGATGACATCCCATCCCTGAGGGCCCCCAACCCCGACCGGACGGCACGTTGGGAGGATGTAAATTGAACTATAATCCCAATATGACAGATAGAGAGTGAGATTCTGTCCCCGGTACTTTAGAGGTTCTAGCATTTAGCATAATCACCTCTTATCGCAGTTGTCAGGATTCAAATCTGAAACATAACCCTTGTGTCAAAAAGTACCTGCAACTAACCAGAATTGGATTGTTTTTGTCATGTTTGCGGTTCACAATGGAAATTATGGTTCCATTCTAGACGGGGAAAAATGGAATCTCATGGTCTGGTTTTACTGGCGTAGGAGAAAGTTCATACGGAGTGTTTAATTTGGTAGTAATAAATCACGAACTATTGTGTGTTTTGCCAAACATTTTACGAGTTATGATTACGGAGTAATATAATATTATGAGAAAGTGTCTTGACTCTTCAATAGTTTTCTAGACAAATATCGTTCTAAAAAAATGTTTGAGTATTAAATTGACCTTTTGCATGGAAACTCACGTCTTAACGTGATATCAAATTTAAGTCCGATTGTGGCTTGACAGCTTGTTTAATTCCGTGATTAAGAACAATGTGTTAAGGATTTATTTGATCCATTTATATGCTCCGATATTGTCCAATCTAGTTTGGTCTGAGGGATCTATTAAAGTATTCGTTCCAGATCAGAAAACAATAAAATAATAAAACGCTATATGACTTTGACTTGTTTGTTTTTTATCTTGATAAGTATATCTAATGGATTTGTGAAAGGCCCTAATCAATCCCTTTAATTAGGAGCATTTAGTGGACGTACTCATGATAACAAAATAACAAGTTAAAAAAAAAAACTTCGTAAACTTTGACCGAATCGCGTTCAAGTGTTCAACAAACTTGCCTGCCAAGTCTGCCAGCTTGTCCAAACGGACCAAACCCAAACCACAAACCAGTGATAACAAAATAGCGTAAATTACATCCTACGGTCGGATGTACCGTGCGCACGATATAATCGGTCTTTTTATGTTTCTGTGCTTCTCACCCTAACACCGGACTTCCTCGATCTTGCTTCGCACAGGACTTCGCACCTGCTTCTTCAATCTCGCTTGGCTTCTTAGATCTGACCTCGCACCAGGTAGATTGCTCCTCGTCTCCGCTCTCTTCTCCTCAAGCACGAACGCCCTCCTGTAGCGCAAGAGACGGCTGCTCCTGGGGATTTCTTTGTTGGCTGGTGCTGCGAGAAGAAGAATACGGAGACGACATATTGAGCAATGATTTAGGTGACTGAGTTCATACTTCTTTGTTGACGAATCTGGAATGAGTTTATATTATACTCAAATGGGTATAAACTTAACATGAATGAACATACACAAATGAATATTGAGCATATTACAAAATGAGTTTTATGTTAAACTCAAATGAGTATAAAACCCAAAATGAATGAGCATACACAAATGAACTTTTGAATTTTTTGATACTCATTTTATAAGTTATGTATGCTCATTTGGTACCTCTCTATGCTCATTTTAAAATGTTGCACATTTCAAACGTATCATACTACATTATGTTAAAGTCAAATGAGTATAAAGCCCAAAATGAATGAGCATACACAAATGAGCTTTTGAAATTTTTTATACTCATTTTATAAGTTATGTATGCTTATTTGGTATCTCTTTATACTCATTTTAAAATGTTGCACATTTCAAACGTATCATACTACATTATATTTATATATTGAAATTAATTTCAATTGATTACGGACATAATTTAAGAGTTCTTATAAACGAAAAAATAATAAAAAGAAAACTTGAAGCAAAGAATACTGATGCTTATTCTTAGGCTCATAATACTCAAACGAACATGCTTGATGCTAAACAAAATTGCGTTAATGCTCATTCAAGAGAAATCATGTTTTTCACCAAAATTACAAAAATGTCACCAGCTCTATGACTGACACCGTACGGTCGGTTGCATAGTATACGTTTCCAGGAAAATAGGTACCCCGTACTACGTAATTTAAGTATATAAAGAACGAAAAGCAGGAAATAGAAAAACAATGAATTGATGGTTGCTCCAAAAGTTGCATTAATATATTCAATGGTGCGAAATATGGAAAAAAAATCTATCTAATTCTTAAGGGAGTTTAAGGGCTGTTTAATTTTTCTTAAAGGGTGTTCTTTTATTTTATATGTTAAATAATGAGTCTAAATTGATCGAGTATTATAACCAATTTAATGCGCAAATTATACCGTGGGATCGGCCCACCTTCCGCATGGTGTGCCGATCCCACTTTTAGGAAAGTTACGTTGCTTTCCTTTTCCCACTTCCTTTGTCTCCAACTTTGTTATTTCCTTTTCCTTTGCTTTTCTTTTTTTTTTCTTTTGTTCAATTCTTTTCTTTTTCCATCAAATTAAAATACTAAAAATTTAATTGCAATCCTACTTTCTTTATCTTCATCTTAAATTATAATTGAATCTATTTTTTATTCTTTATCAATACATAATAATTCATCTAAAAAATTCTTTATCTTCATGTTCATAATTTTTTTTCTATAATATATTTCTTCATCTCTTTATAAAAAAAAATATTTCTTATCTCTTTGATATGTTTTTAGTTTTTTTAAGACATAAAATTTGTTTTTTCGATTTAAATTTCATAAAACATGAATTATATTACGGTTTTCATATGTGTGAGTTATGTTTATAGACAATTTATGGAATTACATGTGATATTATATGAAGTTACATCTTTTTATAGGCGAATACATCTTGTTGTCCATGAGTTACATCTTCTTATACACGAGTTACATTTAGACTTGCCTCAACAAGCTATATTTTGCATACACCTAATTTAGATTTTTTAGCATGAGTTACATGTTTTCATAACACGAGTTACATCACGAAATAAATCCATCCATTGAAACCAAAAAATAATTTTTTTGCAAACAAAAATGATTTTTTTTGGAAAAAAATGATTTTGCGGCAAAAAAAATTAATATTTGTGGCAAAAAATATTATTTTTCTTTGAAACATTTTTATGGCCTTAATACAAAAAACAAAACATACTAAATATTTACATTAAAAAAATTTAAGCAATTAGACTTCATGTTTTCATTGTTTACATTTGATAGTATATGAAGTTACATCTTCTAATTATGCGCAGGTTATATCTTTTTATGCGTGGGTTACATCTTCTTTTACATGAGTTACATTTGAACTTACCTGAACAAGTTACATTTTACATTGACCTAAGTTAGGTTTTTCATCAACGTGAGTTACATTTTCTATAACATAAGTTACATCGCAACATAAAGCTCTACTATTGAAACAAAAAAAATCATTTTTTGCCAAACAAGGCAAAAAATGATTTCTTTAGCAAAAAAGTGATTCAAAAAAAATATTTTTTGGCAAAACATATTCACTATTTAAGTAAACACATGCTATTGAAACAAAAAAAACGAGTTTTTTGCAAGGGAAAAAAATGGCGGAAAAATGATATTTTTTGCAAAAAAAGATTTTTTTTGCAAAAAAAACTGATTTTAAGGGAAAAAATTATTTATGGTCTTAATATTAAAAACAAAACATATTCACTATTTACGTAAAGTAATTGAGCAATTAGACTCCTTGTTTCAAGGAAATCAATGTTTTATTTCTTATAGTTCGTATTAGACAAGTTACATTTGGACTTGCCTGCAATTACATTTCTGATCAGCCTGAGTTACATTTCTTTACACGCGAGTTACATTACTCTGCTACTGGACACTGGAAAAACAAAAAATAAGTTATTGTTCACGCGTGAACAG